AATACTTGTTCTCCTAGTGTTGACATAGGTTTTCTCTGTTCTTCTGGTTCTTCTGTTTCCCCCACAGTCCAAAGACATGCGCTATATGAGCTGGTGTGTGGTGTGCGGTCTGGTGCAATATAGCTGCTGTCACATCATCCAAGTGGATGCTGCACACTGGTGGTGGATGAGGAGAGTCCCCCTTACGTGTAACAGGCCCGGATTGGCTAATCGGGAGGACCGGGAGAATTCCCGGTGGGCCGGTCCATTTTTTTGGCCGCGAGGGCCGGTGTCCCTAGCTCCAGAATATGTTGCTCTCAGCAGTCACACTTTTTTAAATATAATTTATTTATTTACTTGACCACAGCCTTCTTATTTATTATTTTACCGCAGCTCTGCTCTTGTTATCTATTTTATCGTAGCCTAGTGAGCAGTATGCAGCCTGCAGGTTAATGATGATATATCTAGATAAGTCAATATTTAATGTACAGCTTCTGTGGTACAGTGGTTAGCACGTTAGGTGAATACCTGGCCAACCAGGGTTCGGTCCTCGTCTATGAAGATTTTTTTTTTTTCATTTTTATTGTTAAGACATATAATACTGTAAAGGTTGTTGAACATTTGAAGTTCTAAAACAGCTGTTTTCTCAAAAAAAGACGTGATAGTGTCATTAGAAACTGAATTGGAAATTACCTTATTTTAAGATAGTCAGTGGTGAACTGAGGTGGGCCGGTCTAAGGCTTGAAACTCCAGGGCTGAAAAAGAGTCCCACTCCGGCCCTGACGTGTAAAGTGCTTTGAGTGTCTAGAAAAGCTTTATAAATGTAAGAAATTATTATTATAGGTGAATTGAATAAACTAAATTAACCGTAGTGTATGTGTGTGAAAAAGTGTGTATGGGTGTTTCCCAGTGTTGGGTTGTGGCTGGAAGGGCATTCGCTGTGTAAAACATATGCTGGATAAGTTGGTGGTTCATTACACTGTGGTGACTCCTGATAAATAAAGGGATTAAGCTAAAAAGAAAAGGAATAAATTAATATATTATCATATTTATCATTTAAATGAGATAATAAACAAAACAGGGCAGCTTTTTAGGAGCACACTGTATATTATATATAACATGTTATATCATTGGTAATTTATTCAGCTTGTTGTTTGACTAATAATTGTACCACATTCATTAACAAGTGACAAAAAAAGTAATAGAAACACCTCTTTTACAAACTTTTAGCTTAACCACAATCAAAGGTCTTTCCTGTAAATAAATCATCTATAAATCTCTCTGTTCTCTTTTTTTCTTACTGTTCTGCCTTTTAACTTCTGCTCTGTTTCTGTGTCACTTCAACTTACCATTATAATTTCACATGTCCACCATTGTTGGCTGTGTTATTATTGCTTCTGCTGTTCCTCATCCACAAGTACTTTTGATCAGAATCTTAACATTTAGAAAAGTCGTTACTAGTGATAAAACAACACAGATCTGGAGTGGAGCTTAACTCTTTTTTTCCTCCCTCAGGGGGGCTGTGTTTCTCATAATTGTCCTGGAAGTTGCTTAAATAAAATGAAAAACAGCAGTTGATGACCACTGCCTGTTTGTGCATTTAAAGTTATTTTGTGATTTTTTTTTTTATATGGTTATATTGAGTTTTCACACAGCTTGTCTTTACTCAGCTTTGTGTTGCTCTTTTGATCTTTTTCCTAGTCTCTGTGAGTGACTAGTAGCACATGGTGCCCACATGTTGTGCCGTGCATTCTTTGTCTCAGTGTCCACACACACACATACGCGCGCACACACACAAACTCACTCACATTCCACTCCCTAACTGCCAACTCAAGTGGCTTTTACAGCTCGTTCACTTCCGTGTAATCATGCACCCTTTAGTTATGTGTGCGCTACTCATAGACACAAATTGAAGATATCTTCATTTACTAGAGTAATTACATGTGCTTCTGTTCACATGTGCCATTGCCATGGCAGTATCAGTGTGGCTGAATGAACTGGAGTTGGTATGCTTGTGTTTGTGTGACAGAGAGAAAGAGAGAGAGAGAGAGAGAGAGAGAGAGAGAGATTTGGGCAAAGGGTAGTCAGGCAGGTGCAATGACAGCTGGTCTGGGCAGCTCAAACCGAGGGGGAGGAAGAGAGTGGTGAAAAGATGAAGTACTTATAGTGGCATAGAGAACAAGAAAACGTTTGAATTAAAGAAAAATAAAAGCCCTTTAGAAATAGACCTGTTCCAGCATGTGCCTTTTGATTTTTCCATTGTGAAGCAATGGGCAGTTTTAGCGTTTTTTTGGCTTCAGTGCTTGTTTCTGTAGACAGACGATATTTTAATATGGCGTATGAGTCACTTCACCAGAACCACAATGAGCTTATGCTTGTTCATAAGGCACTTGTGTGTGTGTGTGTGTGTGTGTGTGTGTGTGTGTGTGTGTGTGTGTGTGTGTGTGTGTGTATCTGGAAAAGGAAGATGAAGTTTGTTTTGGAAAAGCCTCTGAGGGAGCAAATGTTTGCAGAATAGGGAAAGAAAGAACATTAGAGAGAGAAAGGGGGTGTGCGAGCTTTGTGAAGACCATTTATAGCTTTGTGGAGAGAGAGACATATTAACTAGTCTTTATTGAAAGAGACAACTTTATAGAAAGAAACCAAATTGGCAGACTGAAGGAACAAGAGGAGAAAAAATACAGAAGCGTATAATTGAAGGTTGGAGCCTCCACTTTCTTCAAAATACGATTAAAACTCAGCCAGGGGAATGGTGAGGGTTTGAATGTGAATCAGGGTTTTGATTTGAATTAAAACTACATCATTAGAGAAGTTGGTTGTAAGACAAAGAGTCTGACGCCATGCTCACTAACATTGAGAAAGAACTGCGGACAGATCTGTTTCATGGCCAGAGCCTTGCCAGCAGCCCAAGGCCAAATATGTGAACTGGACTGATAAAAATATCCAAACACAGCAGTGTTTCTCTAAACAAACAGGCTTATTGGAATCTGTGCAGAATCCCATTTCAGAAATGTTTTGCTGCTGCTCTGTGTTCAACGTATGACTTTTTCTGTTCTGATGTTTTGTTACTCATGATGAGATGTGCTGCTAGAACTTGCCTAGATGTGGAAAGTTAAAGACAAGATGATAATGTTGGAAAATTTGGAAATTTGGGGAAAATATTTTATACACTTTAATCTTTTTTTGATCATCATCAAAATATTCTTCTTCTTTTTGTGATAATAAATATTATTATACATGTATTATTATATTATACTATTAAATCAGGCTCCAAGAAATGGCAAATGATCAGAAGTGTAGACTTTTTTTAAAACTTATTTTTATTAGAGAATACAACCTTGCATATAGTACAAAAGTGTAACAGTTTTTTTGTTTTTTTGCATGCTAGACCATCCATTTCTAGCTACCAAAATTGTAAATACATGTACAGAACAAAAAAATAAAAATAAAAACAACCTTAGGACACATAAAGAGATAAAATAATAATAATAGATTAAAATAATAATAAAATAATAGTAATAATAATAATAATAATTGTGAAAAAATATATAAACAAAAAAATTTTTAAAAAAGAAGAAAAAAGTGGCCTTGTTCTTTTATACTTCACGAGTTCAGCATGGCTCATTACAGAAGTGTGGACTTTAAAGTAAGATTTTTTTTTTATTTTATAAAAGAAATGAACACATTATTTCAAGTATGCATTAAATGGATCAAAAGTGTGACAAAAAATTATGTTTCAAATAAATGTACTTTTAGGGCAACGCAGTGGTGTAGTAGGTTTTGCTTGTGCCTCACAGCAAGAAGGTTGCTAGTTTGAGCCTTAGCTGGGTCTGTTAGTTTATGTGTGGAGTTTGCATGTTCTCCCTGCGTTTGCGTGGGTTTCCTGCGGGGGTTTTTCTGCGGGTGCTCCGGTTTCCCCCACAGTCCAAAGACATGCGGTACAGGTGAATTGAGGTAATTGGCTAAAATTGTCCGTAGTGAGTGAATGTGTACGGATGTTTCCCAGAGATGGGTTGCTGCTGGAGGGGGATTCGCTACGTAAAACATACGCTGGATAAGTTGGCGGTTCATTCCGTTGTGGCGATTCGGAATAATAAAAGGACTAAGCCGAAAAGAAAATAAATGAACGAATAAATGTTCTTTTAAACTTTCTACTAATGAATGAATCCTAAAAAAATGCTATAGTTTACACAAAAAATAAGCAGCAGTTTTGATTAGAAGTAATGTTGATTGTTATTTAGCATATCAGATTAATAAAGGCCAATTAGGCATGGGACGATTTCAAGGTTTACAGTGGTTTGGAAAAGTCAAGGTTTTAACATTGCCAGAATTTTTTTTTATACCGTTCCTACGGTATATGTAGTTTTTTAAATGTGTTTTTTTGCTATATTTTATTTAGTTTATTAGGACAACAGTATCTCCAGCAGAAAATGACCCTCCACAACAAAAGCTATTGTTCCAAATTATTGTAAATGTTTCTCAAAATAAAATATATTGTGTTCAAATGGCATTTTTTTTATACAGACATATAAAAAGAATATATTTTAGAGCAGGAATCACAAAACCATGATATTTATATTATACTGTCTCAATCTAATACCAGCCCATGCCTAATGCCAATTGATTTAATAAAATGATTTCCTTTAAACCTGAAATTAACTGTTTGAGTGACACAAGAGATACCTCTAGTGGTGAAGAAACAGCATTACACTGACCTTCATTAACCCTGGGTGCTATTTGTGTAAAACTGCTTTTAAAGACTGACCCCAAGTCACTTTTGCAGACATTCTAGAGTCATCTATGCAACCAGCGTCACTGTGTTTCTATCATCTCTGCCTAGCTACTCTTTCCTCACTGGATTTCTCGGCCCTTTGGGGAAAAAGTGAGAGCTTTAGGGGACTCTTAGTATAGTTGTGCAATTTCCAATTAGCTGTTACTTCTAGGCGGTATCCTAATAGACATAATCTTCATCCATACGGATAGTCCATGTGCTTCATGATGCTTATATTTGTGTATTACAGGAGGAGGCCATTCCAGAGCTGGAGATTGATGTAGATGAACTATTGGATATGGAGAATGATGTAGATCGTGCTGCAAGAGTCAAGGTCCCCTTCTCAAGAATGACACTCTCAATGATTTTTCAAACATTTTCTTCTACTTTTTCTTTTTTTTATCTGACCTTTTTATGCTTCTGTTTTTCAACAGGAACTGTTGGTAGACTGTTATAAACCTACTGAAGTGAGTATAATCAGCTCATATTCAACAGTATTCAAAAATATGCACACTTTTGAGACATTTTACATCTCAAAACCTAGAATTATTCAGTGGAATTGATTGAAACATACTGTATCGATGCATACAATGAAAACGGGATTAAATTACACAGACGTTAACATGAAACATGATAATTGTTCTTACATTATAAATATTTCTGGGCAAAAAATGTTTTAATAATTTACAGTTGAAGTCAGAATTATTACCCTCCCTTTAAGTTTTTTTCTTTTTACAATATTTCCCAAATGATGTTTAATAAGAGCAAGGACATTTTCATGGTATGTCTGATAATATTTATTTTGGCTAGAATAAAAGCAGTTTTTAATTTTTTAAAAAACTTTTTTAGGTTAATATTATTAGCCCCTTTAAGCTTTTTTTTTGATAGTCTACAGAACAAACCACTGTTATACAATAACTTGCCTAATTACCCTAACCTGCCTAACCTAATTACCCTAGTCACTTTAAGCTGTACGGAAGTGTCTTGAAAAATATCTAGTCAAATATTATTAACTCTCATCATGGCAAAGATAAAATAAATCAGTTATTAGAAAGTTACAGAAATTGGGGGGCAGGGGGTTAATAATTCTGACTTTAACTGTATATAAGTGTGTACTATGTATACAGTAGTCAACATTTGATCAGAAAAGTTAGGACAGAAACCTATTGGACAACACCCAATACTGTAACTGACTACTATATTTATTTTGTATATATGCCAGGGTGTCTGCGGGATCTTATACTGCAGTAACCAAGGCAACGGCATCATTTTCTGCTGTTCTAAGGGGACCACCTGCTGGATTTGCATTTTTATTCAGTATATGAAAAATATTTTAGTTTAGGATTGGTATCTTACAATCAGTATTTAGTAAATATACTGTAGGTTAAAATGTCGCCAATGTTACCAGTTGAAACCAAAAAGGCTGATAAGAGTAAAGAGTCTAACCTAAACCTAAAGAGTCGTAGAAAAGGTCTTAAAATGTAGTAAATTTAACTTTCTGAATTCCTGTATAGACCCTGAATAAACGCATAAAAGATATTTAGATATAAAATATATACTGTATGTAATTAAAAATATATACTGTATCTACTGTATGTATTATATATATATAAAGAGTTTTGTATAGTATTGTTTTTATGTATAGTTGAAGGCAGAATTATTATCCCCTGATTAGCCCCCTGTTTATTTTTTTGCCAAACTTCTGTTTAACATTTAACAGAGATTACTTCAACACACTTCTAAGCATAGTTTTAATAACTCATTTCTAAAAACTGATTTATTTTATCTTTGTCATGATGATGGTAAATAATATTTGACTAGATATTTTTTAAGACACTTCTATACAGCTTGAAGTGACATGTTATTTATGTTAACTAGGCAGGTTAGGGTAATTAATAGTAATTAGGTGATTGTATAACGATGGTTTGTTCTGTAGACTATCGTAATAAATAGCTTAAAGGGGCTAATAATTTCAACAATAATATGTTTTTTTAAAAATACTGTGAAAATCTCCTTGCTCTGTTCAACCTTATTTGGGAAATATAAAAAAAAATTACAAAAATAAAAGGGGGGCTAATAATTATGACTTCAACTGGATGTGTCTATATCACACTTACATAATAATAGACACATGTATTATGTTAAAACTAATTTTATTTTGGAAGTGATTGATCGTGTTTGCCATAGATGGGTTGCAGCTGGAAGGGCATCCGCTGCGTAAAAACTTGCTGGATAAGTTGGCTGTTCATTCCGCTGTGGCGACCCCAGATTAATAAAGGGACTAAGCCAACAAGAAAATGAATGAATGAATGGTTGATCGTGATTAATCTTTGTCCAGCGCTAATTATAAATAAACAATCAAAAAGATTGTGGTAGGCAGAGTTTTAGGACTTCTGTTAGGACTTGTCAGCTGTCTGATGTCTGCTAAATGTATTTTCTGTAGGAGTTTGTAGCTGAATTGTTGGACAGGATCCGTGGCATGCAGAAGCTCAGTACTCCTCAGAAGAAATGAAGCTCCAGCCGCCTCCACCTTTCCTCATCGTATCCCGCTTCTCCTTTTGCAATTTAGGGGCGTTTCTATTTACCCCTGAGCAGGTGCTCATCCTGTCCCTGGGCTCTGTTGCATCTGTTGAGAAGGAGGTGGAGGGAAAGTTACTGGAGATTCAATCAGATCCTTATAAGCAGGGCTTATTTTTTTTATAATTTTGTTGTTTTATTTGTATTATTTTATTCTGTTTGGCTTTTTTTGTAAAGGAGGAACGAATTTTGAAATGTTTTGGAATGTATTCTTTTCTTGTTGTTACACATTATTGTGCATATTAGTCTTTATGCATAGTATAATGTTATTTTTATGAATTAGTTTTCTTAGAATTGTACCTTTTAAATATGGTTTCAGAGCTCCCTGCACTGTCTCAATGAACACATGGACTAAATCAGTTGTGAAACTGTGACGTTCCTTGGTTTAAAATGACTTCAGAGGAGATCAGACAGAAGCGGCCTTGTGGATTTTTTCTTTTTTTTTCTTTAAATAAGTGTTCAGGAACATTAAAGAACATTTTAATTAAAAGGAAAAAAACAATAAATAAAGCAATCAAAGCTGTTTGAAGCAAGGGAGTTACTTCAGATTTGTGATATTAACAGGGGAGGGAACAGTGAGGCTTTGATACTTTAATTTCCCCCTGTCTTATACACACACACACACACACACACACACACACACACACACACACACAAAAACACACACACACACACACACACACACACACACACACACACACACACACACACACACACACACACACACAAATCCATGGGCATCACCACCCTCAGGGATCAGGAGAAATTACCACGTACACTACCACAACCACAGCTGCGGCTCTTGGGCCTCACACACACAAACATTCACAGATGTGCATGCTGACTCTTTCAGAGATAGGGAGGGACTGGATGATAGCAGGCTAGACATGCTGCAGTACGTCACAGTCACTGGCAAACGTATGTAAAAAAATTAATCCTCTCACGTGACTCTCCTAAATCATCTTTCCAAGGATGCCATCTGCTCTTTTTGTCTCAGCCAATCAAATACTATAATAAGAGGGCTAATACTCTCACTCGGTGCTCTTGAAATTCACCAATCCAACATTTCTAGCAGGAGTTTTAGGATAGCGATTTCTATCACATACTAACACATCTACAGTATATGAATCATTCACTGAAACTCATCCTGTCATTCGCTTGGGAGTGATATGAAGTCAGGTAGAATGACAGATGTCCACTTGTTTTATTTTTTCATTATTAATAAAAACATTTATTTTACTTTTTCCCTATTTTTTTTACCTGCCCATCTGCATTTCATTTTACATGACAGTCATGTTTATACTTTCAGATGCTGCCTTAGGTTACATTCGTTCTGACAACCAAATAAATAAAATCATGTTAGATAAATACACAAGGGGGAAAGGAAATAGAAAAGACCTACACAAGTTGAATTTTCTAGAATAAATAAAATTGTACTTTCAGTGATTCTTTTTTTTTCTAGGAAAGGAAGTTGACTATATTTGGAGCAATTTTAGATGCATTAACATTTATTAACAAAATTTAATCATCTGTTGTGTGGACCTTGTAGTACTGTTGATTTCTCTGTTGTGTCCAATGGGACGTGCAGATTAAAATAATTAACTTGACTTTAAAAAAAAATAATAATACAGATTTTGGAAATGTTAGAATTTGTGCTCGAGGTCATACCTTTTAAAGGAAAAAAAAGTATATTGTAGCAATACTAAACTGATTTGTTTTTTGCCCAGTTTTTACACTTTTATGCAAGTTTAATAAAAACATGTAAAACTACTTTGTCTGCTTCTTTACTTATGTCTTAACTGTGTATTGCTCATATAAGAATGCTTTACTGTTGTTAGAATAATCATCATATTTAGTAATGGAATATGTTTATCTCCGATTCATTATACAATATCACAAACAAGCTTTCATCAGGGAAACCTTTCAGTGGGTAAAAGCCGCGGCTCCAATGCTATGCTCCAAATGCTAATGCCAGGTTTGAGACCAACTGTAATCGACGAGTCCGCGATTCTTCATCTGCGAGCTTCTATTGGTTCTTATAAGAAGCGAGGTCTGCGTTTATTGGCTAGAGCCCCAAAACGGCTGTGTGTTTCAACAAACGAATAAACGCTGAGGAAGTAGACCTGTCCGATGTCAACTTGCCATGATATGCAAATTCATTCGAAAATATGTCATATTTCTTCAATCCTTAAAGAATAATCGACAAGAAGGTAAGCTATTTTGCTGTGGTTTATGCAGTAAATAGAGTTGTTTGTAAGATGTAACACGGTGTGTTGATATCCCGAGTCTTGCATCGGGTAATATGCGGAGAACACTCGTGGAGGATTTAGTACCTCCATGCGAAGTATGATAATCAATTACTACATTGTAATTGAGACGTTTTAACAGTCGTAACTTTTTGTTTTGCACTCTTGTTCGCGAACACCCCATGTAGCGCGCTTTGTACTAACGTTAGGCACTTCTTGCCTCTGAATGAAGTGCGGAGTTGGTCAATTGAAAAACGAGCTTTTATAGCTAGCCTTAATGCGCAACTATACTTGAACTGCACGGAACTGTATTTTGTAATGTATCTCACAGCGTATAATGTATGAGCTGTAGATGCACAGAATGAGTAATGAGCTTGTAATGTAGCTAAGTCAGTGCAGTGCGGCCTTTAGAGGATGTACATGATACACACTGCGAGTTTGTATAGACGCAGGTCACATACATTGCTTTTAAAGTGTTAATTCAATACACTGTGAATTAAGTTTGACGCACTGAACGATATTTTTCCTTTCTAATTAAACATAAGTGGTTAATAGGTTCTTACGCTTGGTTTCTTGATTTCTTTGCTCTTGGCGGCTAGTGTCCTCTAGAGGTCCATAGTTTTCTCCGTTGTTATACATGAACATTAAGTTAATGTTATATTTTTTTTCTTTATGCTGAACGCATCTTTGAGACCGATAGCTTAAAATGTATATTTAAATATTTTTGTTGTCACACACACACACATATATATATATATATATATATATATATATATATATATATATTTAAATGTAACGTTACATGTTCAGTATCCAAGTAATCAGGGATGGACAGAATACATAAAATACATATTTTAAAATACAAAACCAAATACATAAATTTTACATGTATCAAAATAAACTACAAAATACAGCAGCCACAACAAGTACCAAAATTAAATACTGCTTGTATTTTGTACTTTAAAAAATACTACAAAATAGTTTTACAAGGGAGCATGACATTTCTTAACAAACCTTCCATTAATCGACATTTGATCCATCCCTTCACCATTAAACTGACTGAAGTGAAGTAAACAATGTTTGACAGCAACAGTATTTCTCTGAGCAAGTTTAAGTTAGCTTCTCTTCTCAAGATATTCATAAACTTGTGTTTCTCTTTAATTTTTAGTATAGATTTTGTACAAGTTTCATACAGAAACTCCTGTTTTAAAGATGATCACTTTAATGACTGTAAAACATTTAATGCAGATAATGAGCTGGAACATATTTCTTCATTGTGTTTGCATCCATTGTATGGCCAGTAAAATTGACACCATCTCTTAACAGTCTTATATCTTAAAAGGGTGATATACGAAAAGTTTATTTAATTTTTTTTGTTCACATCATTTTTTAAATAAATAAATTTTTTTGACAAATAAAATCTTCAATACTTGATGTAAAACATTGATTTTTATAAGCTACTAAAATATCCAGTTTTAGTTATTTCCATAAGTCATGGTTTTGCAAGTTATCTTTTTATGATCAAAATTCTGGCATTTGAAAACGCCAATGAAGTATAGGAATTGCCACTGCAGGACCTATTTTTATGTTGTTTGTCTTATTGTCTTGGCATCTACAGTACATTGCAACCCATCCAGATCTACTATTATTTAAGCAGTTTACTTAATTTACCAAGAGTTTTTCAGTTCTTCTTTAACTGGAAGGCTTACCCTCTTAGTTTACCCCCTTTACCCCCCTGAGCACCAGTTTTTTTTTTTAAAGCATCAATTTGAGGTTGCATTTTTATCAAATCATCATGTAGACTTCTTACAAAGTATTTTACGGTATTTAAAAAAAAAAAAAAAACAAGACACTATAATACTAAGTATTTTGATAGAAAATTTTCATCTATATTCATATATATATATATATATATATATATATATATATATATATATATTAGGGGTGTAACGATACACCAAAGGCACGGTTCGGTTCACGGTTTTGGAGCCACGGTTCGGTTCGGTACGGTTCGGTTTCTGTTTGCTGTGGGGTTAGGGTTAATGTCATGTTAACAGCAATGCTAAGAGAAAATTCACTTAATAAAAAGAACATCTTAACTTTTTCTTTATTAACTTTGTCATCGCTTTTTTAGTACAGTCAGGATACCCGAGTAAACAACTAAAATTAAATAAATACCTCCAATATAGACTAGTCAGAAAAAAAACTATTCTCTTTAGTGCAGCCATCTTAACTAAGTAAACTAAAATTAAATAAATAACTGCAGTGTAGACTAGTGAAAGATCTTCTTCAAAAACACCATAATATCCACATTCTCCGATGAGAGACTTGATCTCTGTGCAGACACACACGCTCATTTTTGATTATCTATGGTTTCAGTTAGATAGATAGGTTTCCGTTTAAATTAATGAAAAAATATACATATAATGTGTTTGTAAAGTGTTTTTACATGACATATTCACCAGTAAAATACATTGCAGTTGTGTCAGAAACTAATGTTAGGGTTGTAGCCGGCTGTATGTTTGCCTCTCGATCTCTCTCTCTCTCTCCCGCTCCCTCTATGCCGGTCATTTCTGTAGGTCCGCCTTCATGACAGCTGCTGCCTGTCATTTCTGTAGGTCCACCTTTTTGACAGCTGATTGGTCAGGAGACCGATCTATCATCATTTGGTGACGCAGCGCGGGAATGTGAAAAGCAATTCAGGAAGAGCGGGAGAGAGAGCGCTTTTTCCTTTGATCTCGTTTTTCGTGTATTATTCTGACATGATTATGATTTTCGTTGTTTTTGCTTAACTTTCGTTTGGGCAAAATTATTTTGCATTACTTTTGCCCACTTTAAGTAATTTTGTGAGGTTTGTACATTTTTATTTCAATTGATTTGTATATTATTTTTTGGATCCGCTCCTTCCCGACAATATAGGCTGTTCACTCTTAGTGTAAGGTGAATAGGGAAAATGTCATACGATTTCCATTTTGCAAACACGTAGAAAATGTATTGCTAAAGACATCAGGTAAGAGGTGAAGGTCATCTTTGTTTATTTTATTCAGTATAGGGAAGAATGCGGCGCTCGGCGCTGAAGACCTTTTTTTTCTTTTCATCAGTTTTAGCGAGATAAGGGGTTATTCATGAGTTAGAATTGTTTTATTATATTTATTTCTTTTGTTTGTCTTCACTATCACCCCCTTGCTAGAGTTTAACTAATTTTTGTTTGATACTTTTGTTTGAATTTGTTACTTTAGTATATTATTTTTATTAGTGTAAATATTTCTCTTTTTTTGTATATTTGGGCATTATTCTGGTTTCACTTTTGTACATTAAATCACTTTTGTTGGCAGTTTGTTGCTTACACCCTCACATTGTGAAATTACCACACTTTTAAAATGTTTTTCCTTACAAGTAAGTTTCGTGAAACAGTTAAGACAGATAGGCAGGCGCTTTGTCTACGACACGAATTCTATTCCTGTACTCAACTGGAAAACCAAAATGTTTCCACACAGATGACTTAAATGTGTCTGGGGGATCTGCAATCTCAGTACTATGTAAAGCAGCCATACTGCGTCCAGTAGTAACAAGTGTGATGCTCACTCAAGTCACATGACATGACATGCACTTAAATACTAACTTTAGAATATAATATTTAGAACAAAACCTCATCATTACTAAAACAATTTAATTAAATGTGATAATAAAGATGTGTTTAAATTGGTTCAATTAGTTAGAGACAAGTGACGTCAACCTCAACAATGGGCAGCAGGGGGAGTGAGAGTACCGCGATACGCCACGAGAGTTTCGCGATACGTATCGTGGCTGGTGTATCGCGATATTTCGGTTCGGTTATAATATCGTTACACCCCTAATATATATATATATATATATATATATATATATATATATATATATATATATTCATATATATATATATATATATATATATATATATATATATATATATATATATGAAGCATACATTCCACACTTTTGCAATGTGCACACACAATCATGCACCTATTACACAGATATGATCTCAAAATACCATAAAGTAGATAAAAATGTGGTAAGGAACCATCTTTCTCATATTGATGTGCTTGGAATGGAAGTTTGCTTTAAAAAATTTGATCTCACAGTGTTTCATCATTAGACTCAAGCTCGAGTTAACTGTGTTAAAACAACACAGTTACCATATTTCTTCGGTAGGTATAGTAACTGACAATAAGTTTGATTAGGCTGTTGTTAGTAGAGGTTTAGAAAAAATATTCAAATGAATGAAAAAATTCTTTAATACTCTTAAAAAAAGGGAAAAAAAAAAAAAAAAATATATATATATATATATATATATATATATATAGCCCTCCATATGCTTGCCAGAGGTAGCCTGACTGCCATTAGGTACCAAGATGAGATCCTCTTGAGTTGGCCCTGGATTTCTCCTAATGCAAAACAATGTGGCTTCTTGTGGAGTTCCAGCACGACAAAGGCATTGCCGCTTTTCCCCTATTGTGCCAGTCTGCCGGACCATTCTAAGAACACTTCGGTACGGTTACGGTCGCTGTTTCTTCACTGAATCTGGAACGGCGCGGCGCTATTACAAACCGTTCTCGGCCCGGAATTCTCGGCACGGTTAGCCGACAGATTCTGTGTGTTGAAGTCACGGTTCTGTTGCCAAGCTATCACAGCTGGCTCAGCGAAAGCCCGCTAGTCATCAGACAGCCACAAGTAAAGAACACTACATTTAATATAAAAAAATATCCAGGTCTAAACAATACAGTTTGGAAAGGGTTTTAGCAGTCTCTGGCAGAGAAGTGAATAACTCTTGACATTCTTATGAAGATTATTAAAGTTATTATTTCATTGACTTGTATACAATTAACCATGTATAATATAATTACTAACCCATCATCTAAAATCTTAGAAATAATAAAATATCCTATTGTTTTATTCGTGGCTAGAGTTTGATTATTTTGATTGACATCCTAGGCAATGAGACCTTTAATTCGCCTGACTGAGCGCAAGTTTATTGCACGCAGTGCCGCATTTGATAGCACAAAACTCGCTTTGATCCTGGAGAAAACTTTACCAACTCCTACATGTGCTCCTGAAAGACTTTTTTTCCTGCTGTGCATTGATAAAGCAAAAATACATGCTTAATATCATCAATGTCCAAATTCCACAACAACATTACTATATCCATGGAACATGAACTTGCAGACTCTTTTAACAACGAGGAAATAATTGCACTTTTTAATTCAAAGCCCAGACGGCTTGTTAATTTATTACCGGCGAGACCACCTGAAGGAGGGTTACGGTGTGTTGTAATGTCGACCGTCCAAAAATCTATGATAGAAAGTCAACTCTTTCAATACATTTTTTAGACTTTGCTTGAAAGCTTTACAGAGAGGCACTGCTGCCCAAGTTACTGTTTTATGATTAATATATATTTATATGCACTAATAAAATAGTCAAATTAATGAATAAAATAAATTAAATGTTGGTATTGCTTTTACTCAAAAAAATTTCACTAAGTTTTGACAAATGTTTTCTAAAATAAAATGAGCCACTTTCATCATTTCAGCTATAGGCCATTATATGATTCAGTTATACATAAGTTTGATATTTATGGGGGCATGTAACATGTTTCGGTTTTTTTGTTCTCTGTGATCTTTAATATAGGTAGCTACGCAAATATTTTCTAAAGCGTCAAGCAGGAATTTGTCTACAGCTTGTTTGTTAGTTATGAAGTAAAAAAAAAAAAAAGATAAAAATACAAAGATAAAAGAGCAGCATGTTGCTGAATATAATAGGGTTTTATATGCTTTATATCTTGCTATGTGTTGTTTCATATTCGTTTATTATTTCACTTGCTGCATTCGTTATTTAATGTTTGAATACTGAAACAAAAACAGCCATCACTTAAAGGGTTATATTTTACCATAAAAATGTAGTATTTTTATATCATTATCAACTTTTAATAAAAAAAACACTGTGTAATTTAATTGATTATTAAAAATGAAATAATTTAAGTGCTATATTTTTTATAGTGAAAGTGCTCACTTTTGACAAGGCCTGTCCAAAAATATGTTTCTGCAACTATAATACAAATGTAGTATTATTGTTGCATTATCATTTTGAAATTTTCTGTTATGTTCAGATATTTTAAATATATTTTCCCCCTCCAATCATTTTCAATTATCATTTTGGTCATTTTCCCTCCAAAAACAATTTAGCCAGAGCCAAGCAGCACATGACTTCTAAATAAGGTGCTGTGACATGTACCTATATTTAGCCACCCCTATTTGATAGAGCGGCATAGCAGTGTTTAGTCACACGGTTGCTTTCGTTTTTTATGAACATGAAAAAAAATAGTTTTGACTTTTATTTAAGATTAATTGAACAACGGAAGCCGTTTACATTGCGTTACCAAGGCAACTACTGATGTGTTTTGTGTAATGTTTCAAAGAGCTTTGTTGCAGCACGACAGCGGAAAATGAAACTGCATCCATGCTGTCTGGCCCGGTTTGGCATGGAATGGAACAGCTCTGCTTAAAGAATGATTTAGGAAGATTTAGCAAAAGCGGCTGTTGATGCCATGGACTGGCCTGTCTGTTCCCCACACTTGAATTTAATCAAGCACACTTCTAGGGCATAATGTTTTAAGTTGCACTACAGACTAGACTTGGTGGATGCTTCAGTCCAGGTCTGCTTTGAGATCACTTAGGAGACCATACGCCACCTTATCAGGAGCATGCCCAGGCATTTTGACTTGTTTTAAGGACATTACATCAAAGTTAGATCAGCCTCTAGTTTGTTTTTGTACTTCAGTTTTGAATGTGACTCCAAATTCAGACCTCCATGGGTTAATAAATGCGATTTCCATTGATCATTTTTATGTGATTTTGTTGTCAGAGCATTCAACTCAAGAACAAGTAATTAATTAGAATATTTAATTCATTCAGATCTATAATGTGTTATTTTAGTTTTCCCTTTATTTTTTGAACAGTGTATATAATGTCAAAACAAACTTTTATTTTGAATGTGATTTATCACAATAAATCTTTTCCCAGCACTAGTTATTAAAAAGTATTTAACAGTATTTTTTTTATATTCACTGCCTCAAACACCAATCTGTAAATGGATACCATGAGATCTCATTTCTGTTATTATTATACATTTAAATTTATTAATTTAGCTGATCATAATGAGGACAATAGAAGTTATCAAATCAACAAAAGAGCAACAATATGTAAGTGCAGTGACGAGTCTCAAAAAGTCTAATACAACACACGGTTATAATTCCATACTGTTGATTTCAGTGCTGTAAGCAGTCATGCCAGCTCAGCCTGCTGCCAGAGATCCAGACGAGGAGATGGAGACTGAGGCAGATCCTGACATTCCTCAGACCAATGGAGAGGTGGAGGAGGATCAAGAAAGAGATGGAGGAGAGGCTGAGGAGACGATGGAGGAGAGTGGAGAGGAAAGGGACAGTGACTTGGAGGAGAGTGAGCCAGAGGAGGAGGAGGAAGAAGAGGAAGAGAGTTCAGGTGTCTATACAAAGAATCAATTGAGTAGATTTTCTCATTAACTGTGTGCAGTTGTGCTGCAGCATCTGTCAATGTGGTTGCACTGGGGAATAGTAATATTTCACCCCATTAACTTTTATTTGTTTTTTAATTAAAACTATACCACTGAACTGCTTGGTGATTTTGAATATATGACTAAAATAAATCATAAAATTATGCATTGAATGTGGTGTAGTTATGTGATACCTGTACATGTGAAGCAAAGAGAATAAACAGCACAAATGAACAATATTGATTTTCTGTTTCAGAAATGGATGATGAAGATTGTGAGAGAAGACGATCACAGTGCCTGGATGAAATGTCAGACCTGGAAAAACAATTCCTGGAGTTGAAAGACAAGTAAGAATGTTTTTTTTTTTTGCTGGTAATTTTATGTATTGTATTGTTCAGTTGTTTGAAAGTTATTAATTCTACAATGTGCTAGATGCAGTTGTCTTTTTCTTCAATTTCAGGCTTTTTCAAGAACGTCTGAATCAAGTTAAATTGAAATTGGATGAGGTTTTGACAGGAAAGGCAGGAGAGTATAGAGAACCTTTAGCAACACTGCAGCAGAATCTACAGCAGAGGACACAAGTGGCAGGTGAAACATCAACACACACTTACCTGCTTTGTTCGTATCATTTTAAAAGTCAAGTTCTCAGATTTGTTTTAAAATTATTTTCACTTCACCTTCTGTAGGTGTATATAGAGAACTTTGTCTGCAAGTGGTCAGACACAAGCATGAATGTGAAGTACAGGGTGCAAGACAACATCTAGAGGTAAAGTTGCTCAGCAGACATTCAGTCTTGAAGTCAATATTATAAGCCCTCCAGTGAAATTATTCTTGTTGAACAATCTTTGTTGAAGCACTTTATTAACAGAGAGATTTTTAAACATAATTATTTCTAATAACTAATTTATTTTGTGTTTTCCATTATGACAGCACATCATACACTCTCAGAAAAAGGTACATAGTGGTACAAATAATGTTCCTTAAGGAACAGTTTTGTACTGTCTAAAAGTTGTATCTTGAATAGTACAGAAAATACCTCTTATGATACTTATCTGTACCTTTTATGGTACAATTGTAATGAAGGTGCATAATTGTTCTCAGAAATAAGGTACATAAATGTTGGACAACTCCTTTTTTTATAACATCTATGAAAATAAACATAACCGAAAGGCAAAGTTATTTTCTGAGTAATTTCTATATTAAAACAAGAATCATAATTTAAAAGCTTATGTTTAAAGACACTCAAACATGAATTGTTATGTTCTACAATACAAAACAACTGGTAAAACAAAACTATAGCTGTTGTAAACCAAACGTTTAATACATTTTAAATAAATGTTTGGTAAGCATTTTTTTTTTGATAAATACATTTTAATTGGTAATATCCACACCTTTTGGGTTGCTTTCCACTACACATGTGAGCTGGCAAAAGTCCTGCATATGCAAAATGTTCATGCAGACATTTTAGCATTGTAAAACTAATCAAACATTGTGTATATCTTATTACAATACTCTGTAATTCTATTTCTTTTTAAAAAATTATGTAAATTAAATTAAATTTTAAGTGATTACAAAGATATTATTTGAAAATTGGAGAAAAAGGGTTTTAGATTGTAAATGGAAAAATGTGTTTTATGTAACTTTTGTGAAAAGTGTTGTGAAATGTTTAGCAAAAATTGGATAGTTTGTTTGTTAAAGTATTTTTTATTCTTTATTGTAAATGGAAAAAGGTACACAAAAAAGTTACTCAGAACTCCCCTGCTGCGGTAGCTAAGGGAACACAAGGGATTAGACAAAGCTTGATTGTTATGTATGTTGAATGTCTTTGGATGGTGGGAGGAAACTGGAGAACCCGGGGAAAACACACGCGGACACGGGGAGAACATACAAACTCCTCACAGAAACACCCACCGGTCCTGTGGAACCAGGGCTGGCAGTGTTCTTGCTGTGGGGCTCACAGTGCTAACCACTGGGCCGCCGTGCCGCCCAATCATAGGTAAAGGAGGAGAATTGGGGAGGAGGGGGGTTTCTTCCAAACGAAGATAAAGTGAACTGAAAACTGTGGCTATTTATAGTAGCTTAGGGCTGATATGATTGGAAGATAGTGATTGGAAGATAGTGAATGCGAGACCGGCCGTGATAAATCATAAGCACGTGATCCTCTCGAAATTAGTTTATGAATAAACTTCACTTTGATTGACAGCTTTTTAAAAGCCCGAAACCTTTTACAGCCCGACATTATTGAAATGTGCACATGCACACAGCTCTTTTGCCTTTTTTCAAGAATGAGTCGTTTATATGTGTTTTATCATAACTTATTCATAACAAATGTTGGATATAGGCCACTTGGAAGTTTGAACAAAAAAAGTCCTCATAACATTTCAGCACTTTAAGGTAGCGTACATATACTTAGCCTTCAAATTGCCACACATTGACACACCAATAAAAATTAGTTTTTCTTAACCAATTAAAATAAATTATAAATTAAGATGGGTATTTGGCAATAGCGAAATTAAGATATAGGCTCTGTGGGATCTGTTTCATCACTTCTCTTCACAATCTGACATTAAGGTGACGGTGAAGCTGAATAATAAAATAATAATGCCAACATTACCCCATATACTCTGTCTACATTATGCATATTTGGTTTAATGAATATTTAGTTGTAATTTAAAAATCCTTTACTCACCAAGATTAGGCTACCTGTTTTTGTGGAGGAACATTATTGAATCCACTGTAAATGGCTTTAGTGCAGTCCTGCGCTCACTGAGGAGCAATGAATACCCTTTCACTGCTGCTGCTACCGGCTGGGATGCATACTGTTCTGGCTAATTTAGCATGTTTTGGGTTGGATTGTTTGTTTATCTTCCACCAGCCAAGGACATCCATTTCATTTTCTATGACAGCAGTTTCAATGTAGCGAGTGACCTCGTCATCTTCCGTGTCAGCTTGCTGTACATTGCTGTCTAGTGGTTTACCATAATATGCAGTGTATGAGCAACCCTTGAAATACATTGGTGGCTAGAATGACTGTTCTTTTTGAACTAGCGTCTGGCCTGACCACAGTCAAAAAAAAATTTTTACGTCTCTGTCATCATTTGTTTCACCTTTCGAGGGATGGATTTTAATGTTGTAACAAACGATTTTATTACTTTCTGGCACTAATTAAAATGCATCACATGACTGTTCACTTACCACACAAGCCCAAGCCCGGCCTGACCCTGTCTAAAATGATAGAAATTAAGCCCAAACCTACCTGAACCGGTCGATCTTCAGCTCTACTGTGGATGCCCTTCTAGCTGCAAGCCAGTACTGGGAAACACCCATACCCACTTATTGACACACACACACACACACACACACACACACACACACACACACACACACACACACACACACACACACACACACACACACACACACACACACACACACACTCATACACTACGGCCAATTTAGTTTATCAATTCCCCTATAGTGCATGTGTTTGGACTGTAGGGGAAACCGTAGCACCCGGAGGAAACCCATGCTAACACGGGGAGAACTGGCCCAGCAGGGACTTGAACCAGTGACCTTCTTGCTGTCCACTGTACCTCCCATTTGAGTAATATTTCATTATGTCACATTAATTCACACTCAAACATGCACACATCACATTTATTACAATCTAGAAGCATTGCCACAGTCTCTGCCACAACAGTTGTGTTTGTGTGTTGACAGTGCAGTGATGACCCTAAATCATATCGAGTCTGTAATAAGATGCTTGTTTCTGTAGAGTGAGAAAACCCTTTTGTTTGATGCCATGAAGACAGAACTTTTGGAGAAGATCCGCAGACTGGAGGAGGACAAACAGAGCATAGACATCACCTCAGGTACATGCACACGAACACTCACACACCCACATACAAGACTGCCTGCTTATCTGAATCTGGAATCTATGATACTTTTTAATAAGATTTCTATATCTGTCTACATAATATAAAAATCTTAGTAAATTTACATACACTACCAGTCAAAAGTTTAGGATCAGTTTTTTTTCTTCTTCATGTTTTTTTAAAAGAAAATTATTTTGAAGGCAGCATTTATTAAATGTAAAATAATTGTTAAATATTTAAACAAATTTTAAATAGCTGTTTTCTTATATATAGATTCAAATGAAATTATTACTCCACACATTATTGCTTTTATTACTATTACCATTATTATTAATAATAATATTAATAATAATAATTACAATAATAATTAATGTTAGAGTGATTTCTGAAGGATCATGTGACATAGTCGTAATAAAGCTAAAGATTCATCATTAAAATCACTGGATTAAATTGTTCAATTAAAATGATCAACTACTTTTAAACAGTTATTTAATAGTGCAGTAACGTTTCACAATTTTTGTATCTGTGTTGTATTTTTGATTAAATAAATGCAGCCTTGGTGAGCAGGAGAAGCTTATTTTAAAACAAATTGCTACTGGTAATTGGTTAGTGGCACTTACAATTGATATAACATATACTGTATAAAAAACACAATAACTTTTCCTTTATTAATTAGAGTGGTGGAATGATGAAGTGAAGATGAAGAAGTGTAAAAGAAGGAGTCACCTGATTCGTTCAGACCGGAAGAAGAAGGCAGCACTTGTGTCAGGTAATAAAGTGATTAGATTCAGATGCATCATTTCCTTCTATTGCCGACTGTCGTACAGAATAAATTCTGTTCCAGCACCAACACTTACCAATTATCTGCATTTCTTCAGAGGCCATCAATAAACAGACTCTGGGTCAGATCAGACAGTGTGTGATGCACAGGAATTATACATAGGTTATTTATTTTTATTTATTTGTGAAACAATGTTTTTTGTGAAACAAGAGTTTTTTTTTAAATTATAACAAGGTTTATGTATCATAATTATTTAGATTTGTTTTTTTTAATAGTTGTTTATTTTATTATCTAAATCCATAATCCATTTTACACAAGCAATTTACGTTTTATAACAAAATGTTTAATTTTATTTATGTCATATATATATCTGCAATTTTTTGTAAACCTTTTTTATTATCAGGATATAAAGCTTTCAAAAAATATTACATTTGTGCTTAAAAAGTTGAGTCTCTATACATATACTATTTTAATTTTAATGTGTTAGCCATATCACTGCCAAAACAACAGCTGTATGACCAAAAAAAAAAAACAAGAAAATTAAAACAGAAATACAGTTTAAATCAGAATTATTAGCCTTTCTTTGATTTTTTTTCTTCATTAAATATTTCCCAAATGATGTTTAATAGAGAAAGAAAATTTTCACAATATTTCTGATATTATTTTTTCTTCTGGAGAAGATTTTAAGGTCAAATTTAAGGTAATTTTAAGGTCAAAATTATTAGCCCCTTTAAGCTATTTTTTTTTCGATAGTCTACAGAACAAGCCATCGTTATTCTACAACTTGCCTAATTATCCTGCCTAGTTAACCTAATTAACCTAGTTAAGCCTTTAGATGTCACTTCAAGCTGTATAGAAGTGTCTTGAAAAAAATCTAGTAAAATATTATTTATTGTCATCGTGGCAAAGATAAAATATATCAGTTATTAGAAATGAGTTATTAAAACTATTGTGTTTAGTAATGTGTTGAAAAAATCTCTCTGTTAAACAGAAATAGGGGGGGGAATCAAACAGGGGGCAGATAATTCTGACTTTATTTATTTATTATTAACCTTAAAAAGAGTTTGCTAAATTTTACTGCAGTAGATCTTGTTTGATTTCTAAAAACCTGAAAATGACTGAAGAGTTTTCTAGAAAATAAATATAGATTTAGTATTGGTATCATTATATTTAATAGATGTATTGTCAAAATTTTTGTTTCATCACAGCACTATTATACAGAATATACTGTATAGTGCCTAAAGAAAATCATCATATCCCTTTGAAATAATTTTATTTAGTTTAACACTTTATTTGACATACAACCTGGAATCAAATTATATCCCAGATAACCATTCCAGCTATTGAAATGTTTTTGCAGCCTTCTCCTAACCTGTGCCTTTCAAAAACTTTATCTTGAGGGTCTTTTGAAAGAAAGGTGTAATGTGAGTAAAGGTATGGATTTTCATGGGTTATGATGATTTTCTATAGGCACTGTATCATTACAGCCAATATACAAACTAACTTCACAGCATCACTTGGACTGATAAAGCAAGCTGCTGTCATTTAGTATCTTTCACAGACAGCTTTTTTATCTTGCAAAATAAATGTTTTAAATATTCATCTTATTTGTAATCTTTTAATTGCGCCAACTCACTTGCGAGAAGTCAAACACAGTATCTTTATGTTTGAAGGCCTGTGATTATCTCTTTGCTACCGATTTTCCGCCTTTTTGTGCTTAGGAACGGAGGATGAAAGCCAGAGTTAAAAGAGAAAGCTGATGATCAGCGTTATGATACCGATAAAACCTGATTGCTCCTGTTTGGTTTTGTCGAATAGAAACTAACCCTGTAATCATCAGTTTATTCCGCCTCCTTCATGCTACAGGCCCCTGAAGTGACATGAATTATTGTTTTGACGATTTCTGAGAAGTAAAGTGAATCTGCATGGACTTCTTTCCACTCCTGCTTTCTGAGTCTGTTCGTCTTTTTCAGGGCCATACATAGTGTATATGCTAAGAGAAACTGACATACTAGAGGACTGGACAGCCATCAAGAAGGTATTAATTATGAGTTATCAACCCTTCACTCACTGTAAAAATGTTTTATGGATCGTGATCTTTACCTTTTCTGTCTTTCAGGCAAAAGCAGCACTGATGCCCCTGAAGAAGAAAGCAGACAGTAAGTCAATTATTAAATGGGAATATTTATTTATGTTCATCATTCAAGCTTTCCTGTCGCTTTCTGTTTTTTATGCAGCTACATTGGGAGGTCAAGGTAGTCAGATGAACCTCATTAAACTTTGAAAAAACTGAGTGCTAAAATTAACTCATTGTATATTTATTAATGAAAATCACATGCGCTGACCATCTGGGACCTTGCCTTGTGCTTAATATATTTCACCAATGAATTCTTTCTCAAAAGAACAGAACAGGTTTACAGTGCAAATTGGTGTTTCTGTATAATAGTGAACTGTACAATGTTGTACAATCATAATTCAAGGTTCATGTTTGGTTTTAAGTAGAAAAGTGTTGCATGTTTTAAATAGCGCAATCTTTTACTAGCATGATAAAACTGGTTGCACTTTGCTATATGCAACAGTATGGGTACTTAAGGAGTACTTGTATATAGGGCTGGGCAATAATAAGATAACAATAATTATGACAATATATATTTTTTCGATAAAATGGTAATGACCGTTCGATAAGTGCTCGATAATATTTACGCATTATGGGTAAAGAAAAAAAAAATGTAGGAGGAGTAAGAAAAAAATAAGGCAAAAAAGGGCACAACTGTCCAGACAACTCGTGCCATCAAAAGCAAGCAACACCGCAAACCTGTTTCATCATTTAAAACAAAACCACCCTTATGAAGATGCTAATAAAATTACAGACCCAAGCAAGTGTTGGTAAACCAGCACAACTACCCAGCAGAGTTTTATGTCATCATTTTCAAAAGCTGTGCCTTATAAGAAAAAACCCACAAAACGACAGACAAAAGATAAGACAGACAACACAATCTCAAGCATATCTCAATGAACACTTGATACTTGCGGTAAACTACAAGCTATGTTATTAAAGGGCATTTGTTACAACATTGATAGGATCTTTTGTTGTGAAGCTTATGTTTCCTTTTTAATATTAAGATATTTACTTTGAAATCTGTAATAACACTATTATCTCTCACTGACGGTAAAAAACCATATACATAAATAAGGGCTGCACAATATATCGTTTCAGCATCTGTATTGCAATGTGCAGATCCCCAGTAGTCACATCGCAAGACATCACAGAATACTGAGTATGAATTATAGTTGACCAGAAGCTACAGAATTGTACTTTACTACTGTATATATGTAATATATACATTTTAAGAAACAAAAAAAGCATGTGTTTTTTTTTCACTTAGAATTTTTGTCTTGTTTCTTGTTACTACTACAATTACTATGATATAAATACAGCACTACAACATAAAAAAGAGAGAGATCGACTTAGAATGTCACTTAATAGGGATTTGATCAGCTGCAGTTTGTAGTTTTACGCTGAATTTTTTTTCCTCTAAGGGCTTATTATGCGGTCTCTGTTGCCAATTTGTGAATAGACAACATCTACCGTCTTTTCTCTGCTACAAAACAACTTCATTCTTGGCTAAAAAAGCCTTAAAAGTACATTAAGTTGTCCAAACGGCTGCAATATTTGTCAAACTGTAGAGTGTCCTCTACTTGGCACTTGTGTGGGCGGAGTAATACACAAGAATGGAGAGACAGTACGAGTTCTGATATTGCAAAATATTGCATGTTTATCAGCCAATCAAATTCATAAACCAAACAGATCAAGCTTAGGTTCAGGGGTAGGCTTAGGAATAGTCCCTAGTTATGACCCAGCTTATGTGGCTTTCAAACATTGGTTAGGGTTAGGGTTTTACCTAGTACAGGTAAATGTACCATCAGGGACCATCACAACCTCTTATAAAAAGCATGCACCCTATATACAATAGTGCTGTCTGTCTCAATAGTTTAAATGGAATAAAAGACATGTTATCCATTGTCATCCCAGTTGCTTCCATTAGACCTGACTGTCACTCACATTCTCCATCTGTCTGCCTTTCATTATGTTAGATGCAGATGTCCAATTCAAACAGCCTTTTTACCTATTTCTGTCACTCCAGACAGATCAGCTGAAAGCACTTTGGCTTTAATGAAACATTTTCTACTCTTGAGAAAAAAATGATGGTCATTGCACTCATTTTCATATTTTGCCTCATAGCTCACTCTTTTTCTATTTTTCCCCAAAAAAATTGATTCCTTTATTTATACTTTTGCAATTACACCATTGCTAATATTTTCCTTAATAAAAAGAAGTGTACTTAATTGTAATCTATGTGCATTAATTTAAATATTTACTTATAAAAAACACAAGGGCCAGTTAAATATATTTTAATTAAAACACTTAATACACTTTTTTTCAAGTTTTAATTTAAAGTACGCTATAAACTTAGTTTCCCCCCTTTTTTAAATATAATTAATGTGTTATTAAATATTACATTTAAAGTCAAAAAAGTGTATAAAAACAAATCCCCTGTGATTATTAATTTTGTGAAGAGTACTTTTTTAAACTATGTTAAAGTTTTATCTTGTATCTTAAATTTGTAATCTTTTTAAAGTGTGTTAAAATAAAATCTATGGACAATCAAATATATATTTTTCTGACTATAATTTTTTTATTATCCCAAAAGTGCTGTGACTTGTATTCCAACATGATTTAAGATATTATATATATTTATGATAATCATGGTATTTATTTATTTATTTTTCTTTTTTACTTAAATCTTGTTTCTGTTCTAAATTGAAAAGATTTGTTGTAGAGTGAGAGGAGCTAGAACATATTTATAAATTATAATGTTAACATTATAATGTTTTTAAAATGTATTTAAAATCTGCTTTGACTTCCACACTAGTGCATCATTATAGTCAGTTGTAGAAAACATTCTTTTTAATACCATTGAGCAGCTCAAACTCAAAGTCTGACAAGCTGTTTGATTATCCACACTAAACATAAAGTCAGAATTGACAGTCAGAAGATATCTGATGTAGTGTCTTTTTACAGTTTGTGTAGCAGATTTTGGACAGGTCAGATATCCGGGTGGACAGCAGGTTTATTTTAGTAAATGAAAACTAAGACCAAAACTATTGGTCAAAAAGCTTTTTTGTTAACTGAATAAAAAAAAAAATTAAAATAAATAAATTAAAAATTAACTGAAATTAAATAATCATGAAATCATCAAGACCTGTGGCTGTTTATCGAAACACTTGTAGATTTGTGGAGCTTTCTTATCCAAACTCACCAGTCAAAGACATGGTTACATACAAAAACATTTTTTTTTTATATATATCATAAGACTACTTCTTATCAAACTTTTCTTCATGGGGAAAAGAAAATAAATTAGGCTTGTTTAACTACATATCTTTTATATGAAGATGGTTGTATGAATTTGTATTCATTGCATTTGTGTAGTTAAGTTAAGAGATGATGTAAGCTATGCAAAATAAATTTGCTCTGGTTGACACTGGATGTTTTTCTATTAAGTAAAACAAAAACTAAATATAATTACTAAATACAAATGTGTTCACAAAATAATAAAAACTAAATCATATATAACCAAACCATTAATGGAAACTAAAACTAAACTGAAACGTACAGCAAATTTGAAAAATGTATTGACATATTCAAAAATCCAAAACAGGTCTAGTCCAAAAACAGATCAAATGTCTCTTGGCACTCACAGCTAGTTCACACAAAGATTGTCCTGCACTCTTGATCGTATCATATTTAATCACTGTAGTATGTGTGCAGTGACAAAATGTCTTGAAAATAGAGATCATTAATGAAGATGAAGTTGCTTTTAAACAAGCAGATGTCTGTGCAATGTGAATTTTGGGGTCTTTTCTATAATGGAGAGAGACTCTCTAAAGACAGAACTGTTGATCTAGAGGTTAATAACAACATCCCAGCACAGTCACTAGAGAATAAGGCATAAGACTGCATCTGTGTTCACTTTGGCTTGTTTACAAAACTGAAATGGTCTTCTTTTTTTGTCTGTGTTTCTCTTAGGGTCGTAATAAAAGGGATCAGCACAGGAGAGGTCTGGTTCAAGCGCACAGATGGCACCAAAACCAAAATCTACATCTCTTAACTTCAGAAAGGCAAATGTGCCATACGAAAAGCTTAGAGACGATAAATTACACTCAGAGAGTGTGTGAGCCTACCCTTTAATAATTACCAAATAACACACACATTTACCAACACATTGTAAAACTGCATCTAATGCTATTCACTGGTATTGAACAGACCATAGGATGTTTATTATGTCTCCATTGACTTTTTGTCTCAGATCAATGTTGCCCTTTTTGATTAGGTTTTCCTGATGTTATTATAAAAAGAGGGAGTCAGATCAGCTCTGCTAATGGCAAGTATGTAAAGCTGAAGTTCATTACATTACAAAAACACAAAATGGGCATACAAAACCTGTTCGACCAAATGCACATAGACTATATGAAGCCTTTCTTTGTTCTCAGCAGGAATCTTGATGTCTAAACCACAGTAAAAAACAGGTCAAAAAATGCAAATCGATTTAATGTCAAAAACCTTGATTGATGGCCTTTTGATCACAAAAATAGCGAAACAAAATGATAACAATATAAGAAAAGTTCAGAAATTGGAGGTTGCATTTCACTGGAGTTTGCAATCCTATAAGATTTAATTATTTTTATTGTCATATCCCCAGCAGATGTGTGCTAAGGGTGATAAGGAGCCAATTCCCTAAAGTGTATCAAGCAAAAAAACAAAAACAAAAAAAACAGAACCATAAGTAAAACATAGAAAACACTAAATAGTGTGTGCTTGCAACACAGCAGCCTTGCTCGGCACCATCTTGGAGATACAACATATGACTACCTTGATGTCAAACAAATTAACATCCAATATTGGTGTCAAAAAATTAGAACTATAATAGTTTTCGACGTGTTTTCTGACACCAATGTTAAATGTCAATTTAAAAGGGGACATATTATGCCCTTTTACAAAATGTAAAATAAGTCTCTGATGTCCCTAGAGTGTCTATGTGAAGTTTCATCTTAAAATACCCCACAAGTACTGTTTTATACTCTTTGAAACTGCCCCTTTTAGACTTTAAGCCAGAGAGTGGTGTTTTGGTGACTGTCACTTTAAATTCAAATGAGATTGTGCTCTTTTCAAAAGAGGGCGGAGCTACAAATGCCTATGTATCAGCATAGTGGCTAATTCAAAAACAAGACTAATATACGAATGAGGGAGAGATTGGTACTAATGGGCGGGGGTTACCCCCTCTGATGACACGTAAAAAAGGAGAATGTTTACCATTAGATGCTGGTTGTATTCACAGAATGTTGTTACATAACTGTGTTTAAACTACTTATAATAGGGATATTTTGTATAATAGTTTTGACATCAATGTAGTCAGTTGACATGAAATTTATTTGCAGCTTTGTTTTCTTAATGTCTTTTTGACATCAAGTTGCCCTCTGGATTATTATAGCCTACTGTTAGTTCCTCACACTGAATACATTCAAATTACTTCACACTGACCTGACCTTATATGAAGACTGATACATATTTGGGTTCCTCAGTTTTTTTATTTATCTTCATGCTTTAAAATGATTATAAAACTCTACTTCATGTGCACCAAAAACAGTACATGGACAAGAAAAGACTGCACTTACAGAACATATCTTATTTTTATCTTGTGCTGTAAAAACTGCTTCTTTAACCTGGTCTCTGATCTGTTTTTAACTGCTAATGGTTTGAATATTACAAGAAAGATGATATCAGGACACCTTGAAACATGTTGTGTGTACCCAGAAAACACAAACAAACAAAAGAACACATTCACACCTTTAAACATGTTTGCACTCAGAAAAAAACAAGAGATGTAATTTTTTTAGTACATTGAGAACTGTTATTGTAATACATAGTATTTATAGACATCTGTAAATTAATCTGAAACAGAGGGTGCTTTTTAAAACTTATTTATAAAGTGTTGGAGATAACCATGTATTTATAACAAGAAGCATTAATAAAAACTTTTTTTACAATTGCTGTTTAATTATTTGTTCATTAGTCCTACAAAGGCTTGATGTTTTAAAAAGAGTTGCCTTGTGTGACTTCCAGGGGGCGCTGTTGTGCAGCTATACTCACTTTTTTTGCCACTAGATGGGACTAACACCTAGCAAAACATAAACATGCACTGAAGAGAAAACAATCATCATAATTCTGTCTATGTCAAGCTGATGAGATCAACAGGGAATAGAAAACTCAAGAAGTTTCTATATTAATTCATACTTTTGAAAATTAAAAACTCTAGCTCTGGCGTACATCCAAGAACAGACACTTCTGCATTAAAATATTGCATCATTGCTATTTAATGAATCTAATGATTTAAAAGTTCACTTGAGTGACTCATGATTTATAGAGTTTGAAGAGTAGGAGGTGCACACACGTGAGGATGAGGGAAAATTTTGTCTGAAGGTGGAGCTAAGTGGAAAATGGCTGATCTTAGACAGAATTTTTATACTTTCTACACTATATTTATGCAAAAGAGCAGCTATGATATTTTCAATAGAGCGCAGCCATGAGGGACTTTTTAAGAACAATATTATAGTTGTTATTATTAATTTATTTATTACTGAAATTCATTCATTTTCGTTCGGCTTAGTCTATTCATCAGGGGTCGCCACAGGATACCCTTCAAACTGCAACCCAGCACTGGGAAACCCCCATACACAGTTACATTCACACATGCACTACGGCCAATTTAGCTTATTCCAAAGGTGCCCAAAGTAGGGCCCGCGGGCCAAAGTTGGCCCATGGTAACTTTTGGTTTGGCCCACCATCTCATCTAAAAAGAGTGAGAGAATACTGGGGGAGTTGGATGGTGGAAATGCCTTTGACAGACTTTGTCATTTCTAATTTAATGTTACCCTTAGTTTCTTTGTTTAATCAAGGAGCTAAAAAATTTTAATGTTTTAATTAAAAGTAAATGAATTAGACGTTTAAAATGTACATACTGACAATTGACAGATAGAGGACAATGCACAAGACATCGATGGGAAAATCAAAGCAAACGCAGGTGCAGCTCGACTAGTGCTGAACCCCATTGTGTTATTTATGGGATTGTTTTTACTTTAATAAGTTCCTCATGAAACGCTAAAATGATACTGCTTCATTAATTAATATATTTTAAAGCAATGTTTTCTAGTTATTTTTAAATATTAGCAAATCAATTAGGAAATTACCCATGGCAAGTTTAATGTAATATGTTCTAATATGTCAACTGTTCTTTATAAAAGTTTAAAGAAAACTGCTGGACTTAAATTTAAAGTATATCATGAAGTAGCCTATTCATCAAAACCTGGAAATGTCCCTTGGACCTCTTAAATATAGGCTATATGTCATCATATTCATAATAAACTGTTTTTCATAAGTTTTAAAATATATATTGCATGTATATATGTATATCTTTGAAATCTAAGCATTAACTTGTGTTTAAAAAATATTACATGTAATTACATTTTTAAATTAGAAATCAGATCTGCTTACTGTGCGTTAGAGTAGGCTTTGTGTGTCCAGAAAGCAAGTAATTAAACTACACCTGTGAACATTGGGATATAAAAATACGGGTTATGCCCTCAACAAACGTTACAAATATGGGGAGGAAGTTAGCTTCAAATGATAGAATACATAACAAACATTATAAAATTGTCAATTGAAAAAAGTCAATTTGCTGATCACATCAGTGTTATTGTACGCGTTAAAGGATTAAAAGTGTGTTCATTTTTTACTTGAATTATTCAGCGATTACTCCGCATACCACTAGATAAAACCTGCGTACCACTAGTGGTACACGTACCACAGTTTGAGAACCACTGGTTTAGTATATTTAACTCCAGCCTACAGCCCCCAATTAAGTTTAGTTTTTGGCACCCCTGGCTTATTTAATGCACCAATACTACATGTCTTTAAACTGTAAGTAAACCAGAGCACCTGGAGGGAAATCCACGCCAACACTGAGAACATGCAAACTCCACACAGAAATGCCAACTGACACAGCCAGGACTTGAACCAGTGACCTTCTTGCTGTGAGATGTCAGTTCTAACCATTGATCCACCGTGACAACCCTTATTACTAAAATTTTAAGCAAAATTATTTAATGTCATGTTGAAAATATAGTCCCTAATAGGTAAAATAGGTAAACTGAAAAGGTTGTAACAACTTCATATAATCAGAAACCTAGATGAAACTTTTGGTCTTTTGTGTCCTACAGTTGATGGTGCTATGGAATATAAATAAGAAGCCTTCATTTAATCATTTCAATTCAGTAGAACTTCCATACATTCAGTATATTTTCATTTCAGTTGCAGACTAAGATGATTTTGACCTCCTGTATGGCTTGCAGTAACAGAAACTGTCTATACTAAACAGTAAAACCACAGCACCTTGATTTTTATGGGGGAATGCAAATTAGGTTAATACCTGTGGGTGTTGCACCTTGATATACATAGAAGCATGCAAACAGTAATATGGAATGCATTATGAAATATGTTTTCATTGTTTTATTTGTTTTCATTTAATTGCATTGACGTGTCTGTGTTTGAAAGTGTTTAAATAAGATGTTTTATTTCACAGATAAACTTCTGATTCTATTGGATTTACTTTATATTTTAAGTGGTTGCAAAAATTTATATGAGTTGAACAAATTAAGTCGAACATTACAAAATGCAATATGTTTAAAATCATTAATTCATTAATTCATTCATTCATTCATTCATTCATTCATTTATTAATTTTCTTTTCTGCTCAGGGGTCGCCACAGCGGAATGAACCGCTAACTTATTTAGCAAATATTTTAAACAGAGAATGCCTTTCCAGCTGGGAAACATTCTTACACACTCATTCACAAACATACACCTCCGACAATTTTTCCTACACAATTCACCACACCACATGTTTTTGGACTGTGGGGGAAACTGGAGCACCCAGAGAAAACACACACAAACATGGGGAGAACAAGCAAACTCCATACAGAAATGTCAACGGATCCAGCCAGGGCTCAAACCAGAGACCTTCTTGCTGTAAGGTAATTGTGCTACCCACTGTGCCACCGCGTCACCTGTTTAAATTCAGCCTAAATGAATAGTTTTCAACCACTTACCCTAAAAATGTAGTGAATCCAATTAATCATATTTTCAGTGTGTGCATGGTGACACTTTGATTGTAGCTGCTATAGTTTATCAAGTCTTGCTGAGCGGGAAATGAACATATTTGCAACTGAATGGCTGTAGTGGAGAAAAAAAGACTTTTTGCCCCACATAATATTATCATAACATATTCATTCATTCATTTTCTTTTTGGCTTTGTCTCTTTATTAATAATCAGGGGTCGCCACAGCGGAATGAACCGCCAACTTATCTAGCATATGTTTTACGCAGCGGATGCCCTTCCAGTTGCAACCCATCTCTGGGAAACATCCATACACACTCATATGCTACGGACAACTTACCCAATTCACCTGTACCGCATGTCTTTGGACTGTGGGAGAAACCGTGGAAACCCATGCTAATGTGGGGAGAACATGCAAACTCGAACCAGCGACTTTCATGCTGTGAGGCGACAGTACTATCTACTGCGCCACAGCGTCACCCCATCAAAACATGTTAAAAGATAATTCAGGAAACAACAATTGATGTACCGAGCAAGCAGTATCCTAAAAGTTCACACTTTCCATACTCTCTTTGAGCCATTGGAGCT